ATATATATATATATATATATATATACATACAAGTATATAAGTATATAGCTATAGTTATAGGAGCACTTCCCACCAAATCCCACCAATACTAGTTAAATTAAATAGATATGTGTTTACATGAATAAAAACTTTTATTGATGCATTGAAATGCCCAAACTATCAAATATTTAGTCTTTATAAAAACCAGTGATTGGAAATAGAACTATTGTCTTACTGTGATGATTATTGTACATCTGGCAACACTCCCTGAACCTGTCCGGGCTGTGTCCTGCTTTTCACATAGTGACTGCTTGATGGATTAGTCAAATGCAACAATTCAGCAATATTTAACTTTCAACAATTTTAACATAAACCAAATAGCAGAATAAGGTTTAGTCAAGTCAAATTTATTTATAAAGCTCATTTAGAAACAGCAGCTGCCACCAAAGTGCTTCATAATCAAAAATCAATGGGAGTAATTTAAAGGAGAAAAAAAAAATAATTCATTTAAAGCAGAAAAAGAACAACATCAAACACAAAACAATAAAATACTAAAACAAGTCACTGAAAACAGATTTTAGAAGATTTTTAAAAAACAGGCGGTGAAGTGGCCTGTCTAATGTCAGGGGGCTGATTGTTCCAGAGTTTAGGGGTCGCGACTGAAAAAGCCCAATCTTAGTGACTGAATGCATTTAAATATTACAATTCTGATCCAAAGTAGTTATTAATGTTGGCAGAACAAGTTGTTTTCTGCACCTATGGGCTGTTTAGCCTTTATTTCTATGGACTTATTTGAAGAAGAAAAAGATGGAGACAAATATGATCACATACAACCCGTTCTGAAAGTTGTAAAAATTAGAATAATTTGTAAATTTCAATCATACAACATATACAGAGCACAAGCTCGGGATGGGTGATTGTGATGAAGTGGCTATTCAACATTGTCTGCTGATGTCCTTAGAGAACTTTTAATAACTAGCAATTTATAGCGTATATGATTGTTTTGTACAGCGCCCTAACATGTTTGTTGTGAATTTGCCCCATAAAGACAAATTGAATAAAAACTGATTGTATCTGGATTACGTCTTACTATTCTTATAATTATCAAAACAATTCACTCTGATTAACAAACACTAAGAGAGACTTGTACAACTGAGACTACTACATATCAGTCTGCAGATAAACTGAAGCAGAAGTATAACCAACACTTGTTTCTTCATCCGTATTTTTAATGCAATACAAATATGTAGGAACTTTTTGATTTGTCAAGCTCATGTTAAAGTAATAGATGGTTTAACGTGGTATGGCACAGAGGCAGTACGGTTTGGGGAGACGAGTGCCTCCCATTTTGAACTCCAGACTGGGCTGTTCGCCTGCAGGAGAGGAAAACTTGAACCTCTGAAGGAGGGAGGTGAAAAACAGGAACAACTCCATCCTGGCCAGTTGTTCTCCAAGACATACACGCTTACCTGGGAATGTAAATACCAGACATTTACTTTGGACAAATAATGTCTTTTTATACTAAAAATATTAATCAAACAATAAACTAAGTGCAGAAAAGTTTTTCTTTTTTCAAAATTTTGTCTTAAGCAGAAAGAAACAAGATAAAAGTTGTAGACGTGATTTATGTCAAAAGTGTGTCAGCAAAGGTCAAAGGAAAAGTTTACAAGACAGTGGTGAGACCAGCTATGTTGTATGGTCTGGAGACAGAGACGTTGACAAAAAGATGGAAGAAAAAACTGGAAGTGGCAGAAATGAAGATGTTGAGGTACAAGATTAGGAATGAGATCATCAGAGGTAGAGCACAGGTTGAACAACTGGGAGATAAAGTTAAAGAAGACCCACAGACCTCCCACCCCCCACAGCCAACCTGCCCGCTATTTGCATTCCAACATTGATCGGTTTACAATCAATCAACCTTTATTTAAGCCCTGGGCTAGACTGAGATGGTTTGGACATGTCCAGAGGAGGGACAGTGGGTATATTGGTAGAAGGAAGTTAGAAATGCAGCTGCCAGGAAAAAGACAAGGAGGAGATATATGGATGCAGTTAGAGAAGACATGGAGGTAGTTGGAGTGAGGACAGAGGATGCAGAGGACAGAGTGAGATGGAGGAGGATGACTTGCTGTGGCGACCCCTGAAATGAAAACAGCTGAAAGAAAAATAATGAAACAAGTTACTGAAATAACACACTAACCTGCAGAAAAAGGCATGAAGGCCTCTCTCTTCCTAAATTGACCATTCTTGTCCAGAAAGTGTTCAGGGTTGAAGGTGTGTGGTGTCTCCCACATTGTCTCATCATGTAGAACAGAATGAAGTACAGGTATTATCAATGTGCCCTGAAATGAAAAATTGATTAAAAGTGGTGACTTGAATTCAGTCTTTAACATCCTAAAAATATTGAAAATAAATGTTGGCTTCTGATCTACATAGCAGTTGAAATTTATTTTTACGGTAGTTGTTTTGAACAATTATTCATTAACGATTACCTGAAAATCCTAAAAGTTGCTGCAGGGGCATTATTTTGTTTTTAGTATTCATGTTACCATCAGGTGTGTTTTTAAGTGGAAAAGAGAGCAGCTAAAATTTAAAAAGGCTGCTGAGCTTAAAAATGTGCTGTTTCACTTAATTTATCTTATGTGTGGATGGATGGATGGATGGATGGATGGATGGATGGATGGATGGATGG